TGAGACAGCAGATAATAACTCAAGTAATTGGGTCTCCACCACCTGTAAGGAAGATCTGGAGTGAGTTCTCGGCTCCTGGCTTTGGCCTAGACTATTTTAGGCATTTGTGGAGTCAAGATGAAAGCTCTATGTCACCATCTCTCTTTCTCTCTCTCTAAATAATGATGATGATGATGATGATCATAGTCATAGAGAGACTGGAAGCAGAGACACAAAGAGAATGTGGTTTGATGATACAGGCAGAGACTTGAGTGATAAATCTGCATATCAAGAAACAAGGATTATAGGCAAGCCCCAGAAATTAGAAAAAAAAAAAAAAGAGGCATGGAAAACATTTTCCTTCAAAGCTTCCAGCAGATGCCAACAACACTGACACACTGATTTCATTCTGTTTGCTTCCAGAATCCGAAGAGAATAAAATACTATTGTTTTAAACTACCTATTCTGTATAAATTTGTTATAGCAGACACAAGAACCTAACACACAAGTGTACAGTAGGAGTAAAAGCTGAATAACCCCATTCTATGGCAACCCAAACATGTGAAAGCATCCTCAATCTTGGCAATCATGACAATGTTGCTTAGTCTTTTTAAAACTAAGTCATTTTGATGAACACAAACTGTCCGCAGCATTGCTTCATCCACGTCTTCCACCAAAACGAAGCCAACATTTGTGCTGGAAGAGAGTTGAGAAGTCCAGAAAAGCTATCCAACCACCCATTCTTCAAGTGTGTGCTTATGTGTCAGAGGTTAGGCAGGGGTCTTTGGGGATGACTGATCGTGGGTTTTACATTTTTAAGCTAGAGTTCATGCTGGAGGTCAAAATCTTGTCATACTGGAGAAGAAAAATGTATTCCCATGACTACATTTCCAAAGACCAGAAGTGGCAGACATCAAACACGCCTGTGGCATTTCTTAGAAAGCCAGAGAGTGCCTTAACCTGATGATTCCTCAAGATTTTATTAATTCATAATATTGTCTTCTATCAAAATGATCACCTTTTATTATTTTGCTACTCAGAATTATATCTCTTTTACTATTCTCAGCTACAGGGACCATAAATTAGAATCATTCAGAATTTATACTTGTAGAGTTCATTACATGTGATTGGTATTATCTTGGTGCCTTTTTCTGGAGCTTCTATGTCCACTGGCAAGAAATATTGTAATAGAGTCTAAATACCATCCAACCTATAAATGTTGAGTTTAGGGGAGGAAAAAAATAATAATGACTGCACTACTTTATCACTGCTTCATAGCTACATTTTCTGTTGGCATGAGAGAAACTGAGACAGCAATGTACATTTCTGTTTTGCTGCTATGCAGGTTGGCCATACCAGTTTCACTTGCTACACCTTCACGTCTTTCCCTGAAGATCAAGAGACACCATTACATCATTGTGCTACAGGCGAAACAACTGTACTTCAGGAAACAAATCATGATGCAATAAAGTGACTCCAAAAGAGATGAGAAACTATTATTTGAAGTTCTTTTTTTCTAAGATTTATTTATTTATTTTGAAAGTCAGAGTTACAGAGAAAGAAAAATGGAGAGATGGAGAGAGAGAGAGAGAGAGAGAGAGAGAGAGAGAGAGAGAGAGAGAGAGAAGGAGAGACAGATCTTGCATCTAGCTAAGTTAGGCAGAGACCAGGGGCCCAGGGCTGCTTTTAGGTGTCCATATGAGTGGCAAGGGTTCAAACACTTGGGCCACCTTCTACTGCTTTCTCAGGCCGTAAACAGGGAACTAGACTGGAAGTAGAGCAGCCACAACATAAACTGGAACCCATGTGGGATGCTGTTATCACAAGCAGCACCTTAGTGCTGTGCCACAATGTCTGCCTCTATCTGAAGTTCAGGACATTGTAGCAGAAGGTCCCATTATGGCTGAAAGGCTGTTCCCCTTGTTTCTATGACTGTTTCAAGTGCTGTAAGTATAAATCTCATTAGATGCAAGAAGAAAAAACAATGTCTGGCAGTGGGAGACTCCTGTATCTTCTCACAAAGATTTTAAGCTAGCTGGTGAAGCCACGGTGGCTTTTGCTGTGTTTCGTCAAGCTTTTGTCCCTAGTGATTGTCCATAGTAACACATGGTAAGAGCAACAACCTTTCATATATGGAAGTTGAAAATCTGTTCCTAAGTAATGAATTTTTTCAGCTCTGACTGGCTCACCCAATGGAGAATGTACTGAGCCTTGGGACCCACCTTCATAAAATGAAGAGATTAATACATTTCCACACTAGAGGACATTAAGAAATGAAATTTTTCCCCCCTCCTCTAATGTTTGTTTTTTCACAATATTTGCTTCTTCACACAATGATGGACTTGACAAGACGGAAGATAGAAAAGAAGAAAGACATCAGGGTGTGGCAATCAAAAATTTATTGGGGTTTTCAAATTTTTTTCTTAAAAAGCACCTACTTTCAAACTTATAGTGTCTATTTCCTCCAAAATCTATGGAGTTTACCAAGGCAACTGTCACTTGTCCCTCCCTCTTGATCCCACTGAACAACTCACAACCTAAAATACATTTGTTTTTATGGGTAAGGTTCAGACACATGGACAAATTTCTAAAGCCTTGGAATTAGAATCTAGAGATGTCCCTAGGGGGATAGCAAATGAGAGTAAGTCTGACAACAGCCCATGTCAGCAGTCAGAATCACCTAAGAAACCCATAAAAAACATGAAATAAAATAACCCCTAAGGACCTTGAAGCTGCAATGAGTTATTAAATTCATTCACCAAATGAACAGCAATGACAAAGTCTGACAATACCAGTTATTGGCGAGGATATAAAGTCACAGCAAGGAACACTAATACATCACCAGTGGAAGAGCATAAATTGGTGCAACTATTTTGGAAAATGGATTGGCATTACCTAATGAAATGGAAGATGCTCTGACACTATCGCCTTGCAATTCTCCTCTTAGCTATATGTTCTAAGAAACACTTGCACAAGTGCACAAGAGATATGAGTAAAAAATGCTTACAGAAGTGTCACTGATAAAAGCAAAATCCTGGAAAGAACCCAGATGTCAAATAACAGAAGAGATAAATTGCAGTATTTTCATGCAATGAATTCAATACAGAGCTAGTACAAATAAATCATGGTTACATGAACCCAATATGGACAAATCACAAAATAATACTAAGATTCCATTTGTATGAGAGGCTACAAACATGAAAACCTAACAAATGTGTGATCTAGGGATATTACACATAAGTGAAAAGATGATGAAGAAAAGCAAATTGATTATTAACATACAATGCAGGACAGAATATCTCTGAGAGAAATGTATGATCCAGCTAAGAGACAGAGGGGACTGCAAAGGGGCTGATGCTGCTGGGATTCTTCCTTTTGGTGGCAAGAACAGAAATGTTGGGTTTCTTGAAATCTTCAAACCACATATGTGCGATATATCTACATTTTTAACATGCTGTTTCAAAATGATATTTTAAAATATGCCAATTCCTAAGCTCCATCTAAATTTATTTCATCAGAATCTCAGGTGATAGGAGCCTAGACACTATTTATGTGTAATTTCTGAAGCATTATTGGGTCATTGCTAGTCACCTACACACACACACACACACACACACACACACACACACACACACACATGCACGCACCACAGAGTACTCAGGTGAAAGTAATTTAAAATATATATCAAGTTCAAGCAATTTCAAGAGAGTCATAACAACAGAAAAGTTCAGCCCACGAATGTGGAAAGGAAAAGTATCTCGCAGTTCTATTGCTGTGACAGAGTTCAAGGTTTACGTATAATGTAAGCCTGAGAGCATTACTTATTTTTGTACTACTTCCAACCTCTCCCATCAGCTTACCTAGCCCTGTTTCTGGCAGACTCCCTGGCCTGACAAAATTTTCAAGAACTTGTCTGCAAAGCAGGTCGTGGTAACTGTATTGCTATAAGGCAGAAACACTGATGTGGAAGTCTGCCCTTTCTCGGACTCGTTACGACAGGCATGAAGACTTGCACCCCTCAGTCCAAACTGTCTGCTCTTGGACCAGTCACTCCCCTTTGCTGACTTCTAGCTTTCTCACTTGCCCTGCCTCCCCTGCAAAATCTAAATCCTACGAGACATTGTATGTGGAAGTGCTTTGTGAATTTAAATAATCACTGTGAATGTTCCATACACCCAGTACCGTTTCAGTTATTACTTGTTCCCAGAATCAAGAAACAAGTTGTCATATCTGAGCCAGGAGTTTTCTGGGTCAGAGGAATTGGTAACCCTGAGGATTGGCTTGGAGAGACCTGAAGGCTAGGCTGGGTTTAGTGCTTGCACACCTATCTTTAAAAATTGTGAATATTGTACAAATACCCATTATTTATTCTGAGCTTTCCTTTTGCAGGCCCTGATAATTCAGATGAAGATGTTCATAAACATCCGACAACTGGAAACATGCAAAACAAATATGCAGGCTAAATATTCATGAAGGGCTTTGAAACAAACATTTAGTCTGACTCCACAGTATCTTCCAAAGTACAATTGCTAGATTTTGGTGAATAAAAATGCAGGACATCCAATTACATTAGAATTTTGGAGTATAATTAGAGTAGCTTTTAGTATAAGTATATTCCAACTAATGCATGAGACATACTTGTACCAGAAACATCATCTGTTGTTCATCTAAAATTCAAATTCTTGTATTTGATGTGGCAACCCCAATCCTCACAGACAGGCAGGTCAGCACTTTTTCCTATGTCTTACTATGGAATATCTTCATTGAAGATGTTATGAAATCACATTTTGTGGCTTAGCCAGAGTAAAAGGATACACTGACCTACACGTTGGACCTGCATCCTGCCTTTCTTTGCATAGTCCCCAAAGCCACAGGGAGGCACAGATATTGAAAATACGTTTCAAGGCAAACAAAGCAGATCAAGGATAGATACGTGTCATCATCTCACGCAGGAATAGGCACATCCAGCCTGGATCTTGGCCCATCCAGCGTACCCTGCATTAACCCCTCTGTACCCTTACCTCTGGGCATGTCCTTGGCGCGCTCTGCCTCGGGTCCATCCAGAAAGTCCATCTGGGATGCCTCCTCAGAGGGTACACGGCGCCACGACCAGCTCTGGTTCCCGCGGTCATGCAGTGGAGGGAAGTACTCCAGCTCACAGGGGAAATCAAAGCTGCACTCCAGACCTGCAATGACATCCCAGAGTTAGTGGTACAAACTGCCTCGCGGTGGGGTTTCCTTTGAGCATGCAGGCTGGCCTCCAGTTCCTTCACAACCTCCACCCTGTCCCGCAGAAGCCAGGGCTGGGCTCCGAATGAGTGAAGTGCAGGGAAGGAGGGAGATGGAACCTTCCTCTCTGGCATTGTGGGAGTAACTGCACAAAACGTTGGGGTAAAGAAGGAAACTGATGTGTCAGAAGGTGAGAAGCTTGACAGCCTGTGACACAAAGAGGGGCTGAGTGCTGGTGGCTGGAGCCCAAGTGAGAGATCGGGTGGCTCTAAATTCGAATTTTGCTATGCTGTTCACCAGTCAGGTGACAGCTGACTAGGAGCTCCACACTTCCTCCTCTGGGCCCTGGGCAGTGCTAACCGCTCTCTGAGGAATTTGATGTAGGAAGACCTGGCAGAACTTGTTTTCCTATGTAGTTGGTGCTCAGCGGACATCCTAGGCAGGCCCTGCTCTGAGACACAAAGGTCAAAAGAAACTCAGGATTGCCTCCTAGTCCTGCTTCGTCAGCCCTGTGAGTTTTCCCTTTTGCCCCACCCCCTCCAGGTAAGAGGGTCCAGGCTATGGTAATTAATCAGGGTTTATTGTGTCTTGGGGAGGGACTGAGCAGTACACTGCTCACTCAGCAGCTCCTTTTTCTTCTTTTCTCACTGTCTATCACACCATACCCCTTCGCCCCTCCCTTTCTGCCACACCTTGCACATATGAGGCTGTCAAAGCTCATTGGGGCAGTAACAGAGATGGGCTGAAAGGTCCGGCATCTGGCCACTTCTCGCTTATTCCCGTCTTCAGCCATGGGGGTGTGAAAAAGAGACTCTGGTGTGAAGGACAGGGAATATGGGGAATTCAGCTGGGTTCAAGCGTTGGCCAGTTGAGTTCTTATGTGCACATTTCGAATTCCTAAATTGTACAACAGATTACAGACAATCCCAGAAACAGGTTCCAGCTCTGCTGCTGACATGCTGGTGACCTTGAACATGACTTTTATCCACTCCGGGCCTCAAGTTCTTCGCATATAAAATCAAGGCCAGATGTTTTTGAAGTTCCTTGTTGGCTTCACTTGCTTAAGATTCCAAAGTCTGCTCTCAGAAGGGTCACAGTGAAATTGATACATTAGTCTGTATGCCAGTGTTAATGGGTACTCATTCCCAATTAGCACTTGTGCTTTTTAGCAGTTGCTTCTGGGGCCACTACTATCTCAACCTCTAAGACAGCTCTGGAGCTGGGAATTGCAGACTGCAACGGAGAAGTGGCACTGACTCCAGCCCAGGCCGCCAGTCACAGGACGGTCCTTTAATCACAGCCATCAGCAGCTGGCCCTGCCCTGGAGTGGGAGTAAACGAATTCCCTTTGACACAAGCCAAACTATCTGAGTTTTCGAGGAGAAGAGAAAAAAAAAATCCTTCAATCACACTTCTATGAAGTATCTTTGGGCTTCTCAGCTGGTAGAGATTCATGTTCCCCAGCTGCTCTCCAGGAACTGCCTTCCTCTGGTCTTAGGTTAATAGCACTCGCCCTTTTGTCATTCAGACAATTCACCTTTCCAATGGCAAGCTGAATCAATGGTAGATCTCACTTTGTGTTGATAATGATTCTTGTGGCCTACATATTTTGCCAGCCCTGAAGACTTTCTACCTGTCTATGGGGATTAGATTAGTGCCCAGGAACTATGGGCTGCCTTTAAGATTTACTTGCCAGACATCTATTTTTGACAGCAGAACGCAAAAAGAAAACAGGTTAAACATGACTCCTCTGGAGAGAGCTGGAGAGACTACACGTACTGGTGACGTGATCGCATTTGAGGACAGGAAACTCAAGCACCTGCTCCACCCCTACTCCATATTACACTACAGTGCCTTTACCGAAGCGCCAAGTCCTATGATACTCTGTGTCCAGATTATTCTCCTCTAATTGAAGATGTCCTATTTCTATTTCAGGCATAGTGTTGTATGCCATCTCAGTTACTGCCTGGCATATGTGCCCTGGGAGAGTACTGAACAAAGAGACCTCAGAGCATACAGTTCTAGCACTGAGCATCATCGACACTGGAACTTTTGCACTCCAGAGTGGATGGATAATTGTCTGTGTTCAGACCAGACCCTGTGTGGTGATACAGGCCGTGTGAACGCCTGATCACACGGGTGTGTTTTAAGTCTCTCTCCAAAGTGGCTTCCCTTTAACTGTCGAAGCTATCCTCTCTAAATTCAAACAGGAATAAAGTTAACATTACTGCTCATTTTGGGTAATTCTGAATTGGACTTTTCAGTATTCTGATCTAATTTCTTTTCAAACATGAGGAACAAGCTTTTTCTCTTTAGCTCTTCTCTGTACATTATGGGCTCTCAATACTATTGAGGAGTCATTTTCTGTGACATTCCCAACAAAGCATCATTTTCCTTGGATCTTTTCTGCAGTTCTACTCCCAGGGTGCTTCGTCACTGTCTCCTGTTAACCCTCTTCTGTTAACTTAACAGACTCAGAGCCTGTGAAGTCAGCTTTGTAGGGTCTGCTTTACAGATGGGACTCAGAGGGACCAAGGATTGCCAGGCAGTATTTGGCTGTGAGCAATACACTTGCGGCAAATCATGGAAAATAAAATTTATCAGGCTCCTCCCAGATCCCTGTGCAAGATGTGTGTCTTATGTCATTGTATTTGATCTACAGAACCACAGTGAGAAGTGGAGAGTATGTTTTCTCTATAGATGAAGAAACTGAGGCCCAGAATGTTGAAACGTATTTACCCAAAACTCAAAGAGACTGCCATGATTGCAGAGGAAGAATGAGATCCAGGGTTGGCCGATGCTGCAGGTCCAATGTTTTTTAACACTAATCCACAGCCTCAGAATCTTTGCCTGGGATTAACAAATTAAATAACACCTGAGAAATCTACCAAGAATCCTATCTCAGTTATTCTTGGTTTCAAAGTTTGTAAACTTTTCATGTTTGCAAAGCCTTGTCCACTACCATTAGCAGATGAATCTTTTTTTTTTTTTTTTCAGAGAGAGACTCATTTTGCAAATGAGTGACTATGACCTTCAGACAGTTTCAGAGATCTCAATCTTAACTGTCTGCACTCATCTGGGCTCAGGAGAGCCCTTGACAAACAGTAATCAGAAAAAAAGACTCAGAACCAGTGGATCACATAATGAAAAATCACTGCTCCCTCTTTCTTGTCATGTTCATCAAGAAAGAAGGATAATTGAACCTTCTAGAAATGGTTTGCCTCCTGTCGGCATCAGGATTTTCTCACATGTTTCTAGATTTCTGTTGTGCTTCCTGGGCAGGGTAAAGGTCCAGGGAGAGAACTGAGGGTGGGCTAGGCAAGGATGCTATGACCATCATGATGTATCCTTCTCCATAAGGGAGTCATAAGGGCGTTCATTCAACCAAATTCTGTCACAGGATCTGCCTCAGAAATCAGAATTATCAGGCTTGTCACCACTTTAAAATCTGGCAGTATGATATTGTCTAGGGGTTATTTACTGCCAAAAAAAAAAAAATGCCTTTCAAGTCTTTGGTTATCATGATTGAATATTCAATTGTCAGAATTCAGAAAATCTGACATTGGGCCTGCCTGTCCTTACTTGTTGAATGGTAGTCTTTGTGGTCTTAACTGACCCATACTCTTTTCCTATACATCCACACCCATGTGTCTTACTCATTAAGTGACCTTATACCACCGTGACTGTTGCACAGTGATGCAACACGAGCGATGTGGCTCCAGTTGTGGCATAGGTCGGCTTTGAAACATGAGGCACTTGATCTTGCACAGGGGTAAAGATTAACTTCCTAGAACTTCTGAAGGGACTTGAGGTGACAATACATGTGCTTGCGATGGAGAAATTCCCAATGGACATTGCTTCAGAATTGGTAAGCTGTACCTTTCTGAGCAGTCTCCTGCTCTTGTGAGAAATGGTACTTAGTATGAAAGAGGAGAGGAAAGAGGACCATTTCCTTAGCATGTCAGTCAGAGACTGCTAGAACTTGAACTGACGTGTGCGGTCAACCATTTCTCCCAATGGACAGATGAGAAACTTAAGACCCAGGCTAAGGAAAAGACCCACTCAGAGTCCTATCATTGATCACAGTGTGGAGGGCTTTCAAAATCCTTTCCACCTCTCCTGAGAGCACCTGGCCTGAGTTGGACTGAATGTCACAGTCACTGAGCCACCAGGTTTAATTTTTTCAGGCATAGTGGCACATCCAACTGAGCCATGGCAGTCGCATGCACCAATGTATTCCTGCCAAGTCTGACTTACATATTCAGAAAAGAACCACATGAAGCATTGTGCATATGTGGCAATTCTCTTACAGCTGTCTTTTACAATTGTCTGTTTCAGAAGTTATGTTTCATTAAATAGAACCCTAGAAGCCAGCATTCTCTAAGCACTGTGAGGTCTTACGAACTGAACCATACCCAGCTGAAGAAAATGCCCTCAATGGCTACCAATATTTCAATCTGAGTTGGGGGTCTCCTTTTCTCAAGGGATTTTTGAGTACTTCAGAAATGCAGTCCTTAGGAATCACTAAGAACCTTTGAGGGCTACTTTGGCTGTAGAGACTGATGCCAGAGACATGATGGGGTTTACTGAAGGATGTGGATTGGGGGAGGAGCTGCAGAGCTGGTCCTCAGATCTAGCTTCTAATTGTGTGATTTTTATTATTGTTAGAATTGTCAACTAAACTTACAGCTAGCAAATGAGCAACAATGCCTTAAACAAATAGGATAGTTCTCAAAAACAATCCAGACTATGTGTTTCCTGGAATAAGTTGGCAAAAACATTCATGGCTGTTTTTCAAATATCTCCCCATAATTGGATGGCTCTGCTAATCTCTAATAAAGCTTTCTGGGTTCTCTGATCCGAGATGTTCTCTTCTGCCAACAAGCTGTATTTTGATGGTTGTTGGAAGCTCTCTGATGGTGAACAAATCTGTTCGCAGGCCAGAAGCCACACTGGAC